CATTAAGCTTCAATTGTTGTGTTAATTGAAGTTTGTAAGCATGAAGACACAGATCTTTGGTGAGTATACGCTGTAGAGAGGTTCTTGACATTTGCAATTCTTGTCCACGACGTCGAATTGAGGTTCCTGGATTGTCCGCAACACTCTCACGCACTGCTTCGATATTCACATTTGAACGGCTTGTTTTTGGACGACCAGTGTGTTTGGCGTCTCCAACGGATCCAGTCTCCATGAATTTTTCAATTAATCTCTTCACAGTTGACGAAGTTAAAACACTATTCCGGCCATATTTTGTATGAAATTTTCGAACTGCAGCCGCCAAGCTTTCACTATTTTTGAAATATTCTTTAATAATGAAGACACGTTGTTCTATCGTGTAACGCTCCATTTTTCATAACCCTATACTGTTAGCTGTCAAATTGCTTTTTTTCAGGGTTGCCAACACTTCACTGCACACATGGCGGCAAATTCAAATCTTGCGTTAATTTTGGGACACCCTTTATATAGACAATGACTCAGAAAATAATACCATTGATCTGAATGAACACATAATACATAGGTGTTTGAACAATTAAACACTTCCACAAAAACAGAGAAAAAAAAACATAAAGGTGCTCCAATTGAAGAATAACAATAACTGACACCATCAACAAAACGATTTTATCTCAATTGCTCCCTGTAAATGTTTAATATTTTATTAAGACTGTCATGACATACATCAGATCTGTTACAGATTGAATTGAATAATGTACACATTACCATTACTGGGGATCTGCATAAAATATTCGTCCGTGGTGTATCACAAAAAATATGTGATTATGCCGACCAACTAATCTGGGAGCATGAAAATTAATCTTACTCAGTAGGAACCCACAATCAATATGATTATTCATTAACTTATAAAGGAAAGTGAGAGCTTGAGCGTCACGACGATTCCTTAGTGAGTCAATGCCAAAAAACTCCAATAAAACGTCTTGATCAAATCCTCTCTCTGGGTATCTACCACTGCACTTAAAATACCAATACTTTAGAGCTTTACGTTGTACAACCTCCAGTTTACCGATTGCATTCTGATATAGGAGGGACCATACTAAGGACGCATACTCTAACTTAGTCCTGATAAATGAAAAATACAATATTCTTAAACAGTCCACATTAGAGAAACCGGACCAGTTACGTACACAATAACCCATCAACCGTGATGCAGATGATACAATATCTCATATGTGATCGTTAAAAGTGAGTTTGTTATCGAACACTACTCCCAAGTCTTTAAAACTTGAATCTCTTCCTAAAATGCTTTGATTAAGGTTATAATTGTATATGATGGGGTCCTGCTTCCGACTATACGACACCACTTTGCATTTTTTGACATTTAATGTTATATGACATGTATATCACGAAAAACCATGTTACCTTCTGTCGGTCGGTCCGCAAATACTTGGCCTGCCTATAACTTGGAAAGTACAAATTTGTACATGAGGTAACTACTGCGCGAATGGGGCAAAAAACGGAGAATATAAAAACCTCTAAAACCTCGTTTTTGATGTTTCAGAGACTCCCGATCATTTTTGAAATTTCTTTTGTAGGAGTTAAGAATTAGTGGTTGGGTTAGTAGGGGGCGGGGGAGGTATTTCTAAATTTAATGTCGTAAGTACAAAGGGTACTATAAAACTGCATGTTGAGACATGTGCATGAGTACATAGTAGCCGCCAGCAGCACGTCTGTTGATTTAGTTATTCATTCGTATTGACATTGTAAAGTGCGGACTATGACATCGTGGTCACGTAGTGAGATAAGGGCAGTTTTAGGGTATAACTTTACGCCTGGTTGAAGCATAGACCAATGCTTAGAAGAAATGACGCTTGCATTAAAGAATGATTGTCCTCATCGTAAGACTATATTCAGGTGGTAAAGTGAATTCCAAAGGGAAAATTTAACTTTAACAGGACGCTGAGAGGGAAGGATGGCCGCGAACGTCAGTAACAGATGAAAACATTACTTCTGCGAGGAAAATACTTGACAACGACCGGAGAGTAACATACCAATAGATAGAGGAGACCTTACACCTTCATGGAGCAGCAGTTCATTCAATTTTGCATGACCACTCACACGTAAGTAAACTTTGTTCTCTCTGGGTACCGCACAGTACGTAAGAGCAGAAGACTCATCGTACGACTTGGTGCCGAAAGATGCTGAAAATATTTGATGAGGGGCAATCTCGGTATGTGAACAAAATCGTAACAGGTGACGAGGCTTGGCTCTATTATTACGATCTGCCGACCAAAGCTCAAAACAAGGTTTGAGTCTTTGATGATGAGGACACACCCGTAGCTGTCAGAAAATCCCGATCTTTCAAGAAAAAAATAAAGCTGTATTTTTCAAATCGGGTGGAATTGTGGAGCGTGTCGTTTTGGACACTTGGTGCCTCCACCATGACAACTGTCCAGCTTACCGCTCCAAAGCCTGCACCGAGTATTTGACCAGTACCGGACTGAATCTTATTGAGCACGCTCCTTACAGTCCATATCTTGCTCCCTGCGACTTTGCACTGTTCCCGCATGTGAAAATGAAGCTAAAAGGGAAACGGTTGTCTAGCGATGAGGGCCTTCTGAGGGCTTGGGACGACGAGTATACCGTACTTCCGGGGTGAAACTTGGCAGAGCTGCTTTAAGGACTGGTTTTGGTGGATGGAGAAGTGGATTAAATGTAGTGAAAATTACTTTGAACGAAGCCAATGAATAAAGCTATATTGCAAAACTTTCATAGTACCCTTTGTATATTCATACTTTTCCAAACTCGCTAATTCTACGCGTCAATTAGTACATATATTATAGATTTCTCAGTACATTTGCTTTTAAAACTTAAAATATCAAACGGACGTGTAGCGTCTGCCACGCAGCTGCTTTACGCTATGCACTTATTCCGGTGCCGCGACTGCCGCTACGGTGCTCGGGCTGGCCAGCATTGCCAGATGGTCGATACTTTCAGTAAGGGCAGGGAAAACGTTTCTAGATCGCAGCGGGGGACTAATTGCATGAGCCTGTTTGCATCACTTGATCCATTTAATTCTTCTTTGGGTTATACATGTTCGTAGTTAACTTTTTTATTGTAATAATAACAATTCATTAACTGACGACAGCGTTGCGTTAAAAGTGCAGAGTCAATCTACTTTTTCAATAACACTCGAAAAGAACACTACGAATATTTTTACCTGATTTTTTAGAAGAGGTCAGTTAATGATAGGATATTCATCTACCACTATCCTAAAGAATGTTTTATCCTAAGGGTGTCATTGTGTTATTCTATATACTTCAGGTAGACAATAACCGGACCCATTCTTAACTTGGCTAGGAAGACATACATCACATCCCACCAGGAATAGAGGCACAGAAGAGCTAAGCGGATACCTCTATTTTCTCATTCATTCCCTCAAGCCTCCGTCATCAGACTTTTGCTTTTCATTCTAATGCTTGAAGACGACAAATATTCTACAGGGCTTTTGGACTTCTTTCTGTAGAAATTCCCGTACGCACATTTCAAACGCACTTAGAAGTATCTTGATTTGCTCGCCAACTGAGATTAGAATTGTGATTAGGGATGCACCAAGTACTACTTGATCAGATTCGAATACCGAATACCAGATACTCGGCCGGGTTCTGGGTGGAATGATTTTCTCTGGGTTATTTCATCTACTTTTAGTGACCTTAAGATATACATTTGCGCTTTTGAAAGGATTTACTTTTCCAAGTAATCAACGCACCACAGTTGTGCAGCTTAGCGCCGTATCTTCAGTCGTTCCTACATTGTATGACGCCTTTATGGCCTGCTTGATTTGGTTAGTCTGTTCTCTCCCTCAGAAAGGCTGGGTTATTTCTAGATTTCTACTGTTCCGTATCAGCGTCAGCGCTCTCCTATTGATAGGCTATGATTTCTTTTTGAATTGTAGAAAATTTCCGGCTGATATGACAGATGATATAAATCCAAAGCATGAACAATTTGATGGAAATAGATACTTGTAACATAACCTCAAAGTAGAGTGCTGACACGGAACTGTAGAAAACAATAAAAATCAAGGAGGGCATAAAGGCGTCCTATTGTAGGAACGACTGAAGATACGACTTTAAAAGTACATTATCAAGATTCATGTAACAGTAACAAACTTAACTGTTCAGTTTGTTCAATGACGAATAGACCACATCGACTGCACACCCAGAATTGTCAGCCATCTAGCGGTCACATGGTGACTGGGCTATTAAATGTGAACTGACATCTTCACAGTTTCTACAAATAGCTGCCATGCACTCTCCACAGTGTGCGATTTTGATAATAGATGGCGCTTTTCGCTATCTTACTTCAGAGTGTTGGATATCATGGCGGAACCAATTCAGATTTTGGAAAGGGCTAAACCTAAATTACTCTTACTTTGCAGAAACGCGGGGCTACTTTTTGACTTTAGCTGCTTTACTTTATTTCGCTTTGTGGTTTCTGTCTGTCGTTTGAGTGTACGTCTACAAGAGAAAACATCTCATACAACTATAAAAACTCCTATAGTAGCCGCACCTTAGACTACAGTACTTTTAAAACAACTTATGGTAATAAACACACTAACTTACTGGAAATGGTATTTACTAGAAAATCATACAAATCAGGTAACTCGATCCGGAAAAAATATGTTGAAACCTTGACTATTTTTTGACAGTGCGTTAATTTATTCGAGAATACATCAGCATTTCCCTAATTATATGTGTATTCACATTGATTTTGATTTAGTTCTGTGTCTGTTTATATTTTTACTATTATATATTTACTTCAAAAGATAACCAAAGATTATTTTTGTTTATAGAATGTTGATTACCTTTGATTGTTTATAATTATATTTTTTTACTACTATAATATTATTCTCTCAATAGTAACTTAATCTTTTTACCTTTCTTTTCCCCCCCTCCCCTCTAAACTGACTCTGCGGACAACCTTAGAACAATAATAACAATACCTACCTAGATGGATGGGGTACTTTCCAGTGAGAAAGGCGGACCTTGATGGAGTGCACAGAGCCTGGGTGTAGTGGCTATTCAAAATGACCCCATTGTATGCTAGAGCGTCAATGTTAGGTGTGGGAATCTCATTACTGCCATGGAAACCTACGTCGTTGAAGCCCTGGAACAAATAGAGTTTCTGAAAACCATATCATTATTTTCCAATTTGTGACGTCACCAAAAACTAAGTCTTTCTGTCTGTCGTCTGTCCGGCGACTGAAAATTGAAGAGCGGGGAAGGCGAAAAACATATGGTGGTCAATCTCGCACCGCACAGGGGGGCTTATATTTCACAAAAGATATAGCATGCTGCATTATATAATGCAAAACTTATTCGGCCGCGATGTTCTGGGGAGAGGAGGTTCCCAAAAGCCTTCCCACCTGAATACGCCAATGTATCCGCCAATCCTTGGTCCCTCTCTACTCTAGAAAGTGCCGCTTATTTACCTATATAAGATTAATACCATGTCAATGACGAAGTTGCTTTCTGCATTTGGCGGTGGAATTATGGGCCAAAAAAGTCAACTTAGGAGCATCTCCAAACTCTGTTTTTCTGATAAACTTAGGGCGTTTTCCGAGAATTTTCAATATTCTGGTGATTACAAACAAATTGGAAGTCAAAATTAATTTAAGAAATGAGGCATTCCTCATATTTCACTTATCACTAATGATGATTTTGAATTTATTTACATCAATCTTTTTGTCTCATTTTTTATTGCCATCTACTAATAAAGGGCACCTGTATATTTATGACAATTTTTGATGCAGCTCATAATACTTGTGCTAAAATGTTTCATATTCTATCAGGCGACGTCCAAATCCATGAAACTGATATGAAAAAGTTTTTTTGACGGGCGTTCCATGATATTCTACAATTACACGTTATATTCTGATAAGTGCAAAATTTTCGGAGAATCTCGATCGTCTAAAATAAACCAGCTTCATCAGTTAAGAAATCTTTGTAGATATACAAAGCTTTTCCATCTACAATCAAAACAATAGCGCATCTTGTGCTTTGTCGCCTATCTTACAGCCACATCCTTGGACCACAAGCTGCGTTGTTGCACCATCTGAGTTTGAACATGACTGCTAAACAGCAAAACCAGCAAAAGTGAATATAATTTAAATGAAAGACCAGTGACCGCACAAAGACATAAACAACGGTCAGACATTGAGCAGCGTACACGATCAAGGTCAGCATTTGAACTTGATCTCGAATAATAACGAATTGAAAGCTATTCTTACTCAGTGTGCTTAATGTATTATAATATCCTGCTTCTATCAATTTATTACGATAATATGGCTAATAAATAACGATGATGCAAGACTAGCGCAAATGTATGTATGTATTTAGGGAATGGCGTTTTCTTTGGTACATTTCGTTATGATTGTCTTATAAAAACCCTACAAAGAACATACGGTACATATGAAGCAAACTTAGGTAGAAACTTTGACCGAGCAGGTACTTGAACCCAGATATATCCACCCGTACCATACCAGCTTCAAAGAAGAGCATTGGAGCATATATCCACTAACTACCCTGTATCCAGCTTGGGGGAACAGTAATGGAGCACGATCGCAGCATTTAGGCTGTATTGAGCCTCGTAGACATTCTCATTAGTGGTTCATATGAATTGGGTCTTCTGCGACTACAAACTGATGGACAAGATGATGATACGGTCCAGCTTTTCCGTGTTGGCCACAGAAGGGTTGCCTATTATGAAGTCTTATAGATAGGGCAGCTGGACAATTGTAGAGCAGATATTTAATAGTCTCTACAAGGGGTATATCACTCTGCCTTATACTACAGGTTATTGGGAGGGTATTATCTTCTAATTATATTCACTCTAGTTTGTGGTTGATCAAATTACTGATTACAGCTGTAGCATGCTGCCCTCTCATGCAAACTTCCATCCCATGGCCTCCCAGAGAAGATTTGCAGCTGGGACTTCCTCTTTGTCAGCAAGATATACTTTGAAATTGTCTGGCTCTCCTCTTCAACTCACAAGTCAAGGAGGGTGATCCCCAGGGATCGGTCTTATCTGCGACATTGTTTCTCTTACATATAAACGACCACTTTTCCTGTATGATCAATCAGATCAACAGCCTCGCTGATAACAGCGGTGTACAGCAGGAATTCACAGTGACAAACCGATCTCTACCGGTGAGCTGGAGAAAAGAAGACTAGCAGCGACTGTTTGGGAACACAACAAGTTAATACGGTTTAATGCTTCCAAAAAACAGTACAGTACCTTGACTAACGAGAAGGACCATAGCACTCATCCCGTTTCGATTGATGGCCGAGTTTTACTAAAGAGCCATCCACTTTAGCTAGTCGGAGCTCAGATCTCCAAGTACTTCATCTGGCATGAATACAAATGGGTAAAAGCTACTCTGTTTGTATAGAGGTAAGAAGTATTTTTCTCTACATAATACAACAGTGTTGCTCACATGATTGAGGTGCTGCCCTTTCGCACCGACGGGCCGTTGGCGATTTAGCTCATTTCTACCGCTATGATGGCCGGCTTTGCACCTCAAAGCTCTTCTCCATAATGTCATTGCGCAATGTGCCTACCAGACGGGCCCGCTTGACTCCGGCATCCCATCCTAGCACTTTCAAACTTCGTTCATCCAAAATTAGCTGATACGACCACTCCTTTGTCGGTAGGTTGGAACAATCTTCCTGAGGTGGCTTTTCCCAGTTCTACTAACCTTAGGCAGTTCAAAAATCGGACTAACAAAGTTTCTTTAAGCTGCTCATATCAGCAATGACTTCCAAAATCTTTAGTCGCGAGATAAAGCACTGCCTAGAAGAGTAATGACGTACTTGGGGAACTGCTGGCCTCCATACTCTGCAGACTTGATGCAGTTGAGAGGATTATCTGTATACTACTACTACATATCATTAGCTCATTGTGTATGCACTGTTGTTAATACGTAATTATACATCTTTTTTGTTTGTTTTTACGAAATCCATCATTGAGACTTGTTAACTAACTAATACTAATACCTTCAAGTAGTTTGTACTGTCTGCTGTCTAAAACACTGTGGGGTCAAGAAGCACACAGCACAGGCAGATTATGTATTCTTCAAATGCAAGAACATTTCACATCATTTTAAACTTGCTTGTCCTTCTTATGAACTGGTTTTTGTTTACGTTTATTATTGCCATAAAAATATTTCTATCTAGCGACGAGGTATAGAAGTCATTTCCGTCAAATTTTAATCGATTTTACTATTCGACTGTAAAATTGAAACCATTGTTCTGGGTTTACAGAATTGCGTAATCCCATTAAATAATGTGTATTCAAGGTGATTATCATTTTAAAGAAGTGTCTTGAATTCCCATTGTCTTAATCAATAGGTCATCCAAAAAATAAAGCTGAGAGCAAAAATAAAAAACATTGATGTTCCTGTAATTGTAGATCTTTTCAGTCGCGAATTAGCAGTTGAAAATTATGTTATTTTTCAGAGAGAAGTAATGCGATCGCCGAAATTCTAGAATTTTCGTAATGCTTCCTGTCCTATGTCCATACAACTGTTTCGACTTAGCATTCACGCACAGAACTATAGTAGGTACTGTGTGGCTCTGTTGCTCTGTAAGTGCTTGGCTACCTATGATGTAAACATATAATATAGAGACTTTTTAGTGCTCTGCTTCGGCATGATATTTGCAGTATCTATAAGATTCTTCGTTCTCCATTATGGAAATAAGTACTTCCCTTAGTTACGGGGAACAGAGGAGACCTTAGTCTAATCATATTAACAAATTTTCTCGAAATAATTGTAAAGAATGAGAAAATATGCTTTTTGGGATTGAATCGAAAGTGGTCAGGAACCAAAAAACTCTTCAAATAAGATTTTTAGGCATGTATGAGACCTACAGACCTACAGACTAATAGTAAAAAAGTTATGGCCTAAAACCGAGGCAAATTGCAGGTTATCTCTCTTGTTGCTAATGCGGCGATTATTTCAAGCAGCTACTCGAAATTCTTAAAATCCGTAGGCTTCATGCTTATAAAAAACCACAACAAAATTGGAGGCGATTGTCCAATTAGTTTTTGAGAATTTCTAATTGTCTATCCCAAAACACGTGTCTTCCGGCCATCACTACTAGTTTACTGAGCAATATACAGGGTTCGTTCAATGGGTATTTTATAGCAAAATACACGAGTTTACCTTGCCGACATGAATCATAAACCATTCCGAAAGATAATTGTTATTTTTATGCGAAAAACGAAGGGGATGAGCAATTAGAAATTCTCAAAAACTACTTGACCAATCGGCTCCAATTTTGTTGTGGTTATTTAGATGTTAAAGTTTACGAATCTGAAAACGTATCTGCGTGAAACTATCGTCGGATTACCAACAAGTCCTAAAACCTGTATCTTTGAACACTTTATGAACTCGAGCGTTTGGGGGGAGGGATAGCTCACTGTATTGAAAAATTTCAAAACTATTGTAAACACTCTTGGTCCACCAGGTATAGGATTCAAGTGGGTGATGTCATGTTACCCGGGGTTTCACCGTCGGCAAACGGTAGCTGGACGATGGGCGGAGGGAGACGGGCAGTTGATCTTTGTCTGCCGTATCGCACGCTGTTTTTTATTTTTCCAATTAGGTTACGTTGTCCATTGAATTTTTTTTTAAATATAAGTTTCTACTTTATTAGTGTTTGATTATAATATCGATTATAGTTCAGGTGTGGGGTAGACCTTATTGACTCGTTAAGTTAAAATACAGCTAGATGGTATTTTTGCGTGGTGATTGAATTTGGAGTGTTTATAAGTGAGGGTACAGTCAAAATGGTGAAAACAAAAAAATCCGCCTGTCGATCAGAAAGTGAAAGTAGTTCGGATAGTACTAGGCCTTCGGGCAGTTCTTCCAATAGTTCCACACGAGTTCGTGAGAGAGACAAGCAATGAAAAATGTGAGAATGGTAAAGAAAAAAGTGACCTTTCTAAGAGGGCCAAAGCCGGATGTTCACGACTGTTAGACAAGTCTACGAACAGCCACAGGAGACAGTTAGGTACGTCGAGAAGGAGGCGGCAGTTACGTAAGTCGTCATCAGTTAGCCCGTCACCAATAATTGTACACCTTCAAAATAACAGTACCTCTTCCA